AGGGTGGAATGCACCGGGGTACGACAAGCTCCATGCTAGGATTCGACGGGGAACTAGGGTGTGCAGAATAGAAACCAACCATGTTCAACTGTGGAAGCTCAACAAACGCAACTTTTGTCCTACCAGTGGCCGGTCACGGCACATGTGGTAGCATGCAGACAAAGAGGATGGAGACAGACATGTTGTGGAGTAATTACCAAGCTGAAGCAGGTGCAAAAATCAGCAAATGACTTGGCAATCCCCACTCAATAAGCTTTTTGTACCCTGCGTCAGGGCACATGACAAAGTTTATGCTTCTTGAAAAGCTTTACAAAACATCCATTTCGGTCAACCGCGGATCACATTTTCAAGTCCGTTTTGTGTGGCAGGGGTGGGACGGTCAATTATCACCCTCTTTTAAATATATAAGATTTTAAAGCTTTTGGAGGGTGGGAATGCGACCGGGGTACGACAAAGCTCCATGCTAGGATTCTACGGGGAAAGGGTGTGCAGAAGAAGAAGCCAACCATGTTCACTGTGGGAAGCTCAACAAGCGCAACTTTTGTCCTACCAGTGCGTCACGGCACATGTGTAGCAGTGCAGACAAAGAGGATGGAGACAGGCATGTTATGTGGAGTATGACCAAGCTGAAGCAGGTGCAAAAATCAGCAAATGACTTGGCAATCCCCACTCAATAAGCTTTTTGTACCCTGCGTCACGGCACATGTGTAGCAGTGCAGACAAAGAGGATGGAGACAGGCATGTTATGTGGAGTATGACCAAGCTGAAGCAGGTGCAAAAATCAGCAAATGACTTGGCAATCCCCACTCAATAAGCTTTTTGTACCCTTCAGGAGGAACAAAGTTTATGCTTCTTGAAAAGCTTTACAAAACATCCATTTCGGTCAACCGCGGATCACATTTTCAAGTCCGTTTTGTGTGGCAGGTGTGGGACGATCAATTATCACCCTCTTTTAAATATATAAGATTTTAAAGCTTTTGGAGGGTGGGAATCATAACATGCCTGTCTCCATCCTCTTTGTCTGCACTGCTACACATGTGCCGTGACGCACTGGTACCAAAAGCTTATCGAGTGGGGATTGCCAAGTCATTTGCTGATTTTTGCACCTGCTTCAGCTTGGTCATTACTCCATAACATGTCTGTCTCCATCCTCTTTGTCTGCACTGCTACACATGTGCCGTGACGCACTGTAAGGACAAAAATTTGCGCTTGTTGAGGGGCCTCCACAGTGAACATGGTGGTTTTCTTCTGCTGCACACCCTTTCTCCGTAAATCCTAGCATGGATTTGTCGTACCCCGGTCCGCATTCCCACCCCCAAAAGCTTAAAAAATCTTATATATTTAAAGAGGGTGATATTGCCGTCCCAACCTGCCCACACAAAACGGACTTGAAAATGTGATCCGCGTTGACGATGGGATGTTTTGTAAAGCTTTCCAAGAAGCATAACTTTTGTTCCTCCATGAAGGGTAACAAAAAGCTTATTGAGTGGGGATTGCCAAGTCATTTGCTGATTTTGCACCTGCCTCAGCTTGGTCATTCGACCGGGGTTACGACAAAGCTCCATGCCTAGGATTCTACGGGGGAGGGTGTGCAGAAGAAGAAACCAACCATGTTCCTGTGTGAAGCTCAACAAAGCGCCACTTTTGTCCTACCAGTGTATATCATGTATTATCGTACATTGTCAAATGCTACCATATATTATCATGTATTCTCATGTATTGTCATTTATTATCATACATTAACTATGTTATATCATCATGTGTTATCATTTAGTATCATGTATTATCATGTAATGTCATTTATTATCATACATTCTCACATGTTATCATATTTTTCATATATTATCATTTATTATCATACATTATCATATTTCACCACTTATTAACATACATTATCATGTATTACCATATATTGTCATACATTATCATATGATATAAACCGTTTGCTCTGCCGGTCTAAGAACCTCTTGCAAATCGTTGTACAGTAAACCAAAAAGTCTTCTTTTACAAATTTCCCAGATAAGCCAAGTAATGACAGGTGCTGGCACCAAAGCAACCCGGGGTATCGGTCGAGATTACCTGGCGTGTAAAACCACTCCTATTGATCAAACCATCTTGTATTCACATGTGCCATGGTTTAGAGTTGAATTAGATACCCAGGCGTTGGGGAAAGGCCAATACACATATAGATAAATATATACATGAGTAAATATATATATATATATATATGTACGTATTACGTATAATATATATGGTCCAGCGTTCCAACCCCTCTCCCCCCCATGGTCATGGGGCAGCCATAGTACTGTCCCCTCCCCCTGTGTGGTGTGGTGGGGGTGTGGTTCTGTCCCCCTCCCCCCCTGTGGTGTGGTGTGGGTGTGGTTATGTATATATACATATATATATATGTATGTGTATTGTATATCTATATACACATATATATATATATATATAGATAGATATGTAAATATGTATGTATATAAATATACATAAATTGTATATACATGTGTACAATAGATCATATATATGTTTCATGTATTTACATTTATATATATAATATACACATGTATGTAAGTGTATATATAATATAAATATTTATGATAATATTGACATGTGTATATATATATAGATATGTATATATTTAAAAATGTGTGTGTGTGTATATGTGTATGTATGTATATATATATATATACATGTATGTGTCTATAATTTAAGTATATATATATACATGTATGTGTCTATAATATAAGTGTGTGTATATATATATATATAGGAAGTAGATACATAGCACATGTATATAAACTATAGGTCGCACGTAGGTTATGTGTGCTACGTAGGTCGCCTAAAAGGTAGCATGTACCTAGTAAATGCGAGGCTGGTAGTCAGAATCGCTGCAAAAACCTAGCAAATACGAGGCTGGACTTCAGGAATGCTGCCAATAGCTTAAAAATAGAAGGGAACGGGGTGCTACCTGGGGACCCATACCATTGGGGGGGGAACACGAGACCACATATTTTGTATATATATATATATATATATATATACATGTATAATATATATATATATATTTATATTTATGTACATGTGTATATATAGAATACAATGATAATGGTGAATCATAATGGCCTCTATATGTGTATATATATAATAATAATGAATAACTATATATATATATTGTATACAATGATTATTTACGCAAAGAGTGGTGGGATCACCACTTGAATCAGATTGAATATCCCTGTTTACATAGAAAGTCATCATGGAACCTGTGTGCACCGAAACTGACGCTTCCCAGACTGAGACAAATGTCAAAAACTACCGAATCCCCATATTTTTTGGGCGTCAAGAATCGAAGTTTTCTGCTTTAAGATCCAAGTTTCCTGCAAGAAATCCCTTGAACCAATACGTTTTTCCATGAAACTCCCCGAAAATCCCAGCGGCTCCACAGGGGGAGTCCGCTCCAAGTTTTTTTTTGGGATGATCCCATATGAAAACGAGCCCCTCCCCTTCCCTCCCAGAAGACAAAAAACAACCAAAAATTAGACAAAGCTACGACCTAAACCCAGAATTCTCCTAGAATATGGTTTTATTCCCCACCTGCCAGGTGAGGGTTGTTAGATTTTATGTCAGTTGCCTTCTCCTCCTCTCCTCTCCTCGTCTCCTCCTCCTCCTGCTCAACCGCCGCCTCCTCCTCGCAGTCCAGATCCCAGTGGGCACAGCCGGACCTCCACTGTGAGCTCCAGATCCCTGTCGGAACTCAACCGCGACCATCCACGCCCAGTGTTCCCTGCCGGACCTCAACCACGACCATCCACGCCCAGTGTTCCCTGCCGGACCTCAACCACGACCATCCCCGCCCAGTGTTCCCTGCCGGACCTCAACCACGGCCATCCACGCCCAGTGTTCCTTGCCGGACCTCAACCGCGAGTATCCCCGCCCAGTGTTCCCTGCCGGACCTCAACCACGACCATCCACGCCCAGTGTTCCCTGCCGGACCTCAACCGCGAGTATCCACGCCAAAAGATATGCCACATAGAGTGCCAGAAGATATGCCAGATAGAATGTTAGAAGATCTGCCAGATAGAATGCCAGAAGGTATGCCAGATAGAATGCCAGATAGAATGTCAGATAGAATGCCAGAAGATATGCCAGATAAAGTGCCAGAATGTTTGCCAGATAGAATGCCAGCAGATTTGCCAGATAATATGCCAGAAGATATGCTAGATAGAATGCCAGATGGAATGCCAGAAGATTTGCAAGATAATATGCCAGAAGATATGCCAGATAGAATGCCAGATGGAATGCCAGAAGATATGCCAGAACATATGCCAGAAGATATGCCAGAAGATATGCCAGAACATCTGCCAGAAGATATGCCAGAACATCTGCCAGAAGATATGCCAGGTAGAATGCCAGAAGATATGCCAGATCGAATGCCAGAAAATATGTCAGATAGAATGCCAGAAGATTTGCCAGTAACAAAATGTATAAATGTCATGGTGGGGATTACACGAAGTAAAGTAATTGTGTTTTTTTTTTATTTTGCTTTCTAGAGCTGAGATTCCAGATGAGGCCCAATGACTTGCACTTCAACCAAAGCACCTGGAAACAATATGGAAGAAATGTAAACACCTGGAGAGAATGTGGAAAGGAATGCTGTAAGCCCGCGCTTAACAATATCTGTTGGGAATATATGCAGCTCATAAACACCTCCAAAACACACGGGCTCACAGCGCTCCTTTCTAATTTTAATTGGGAGAATTATATATACGTTACACACCTCTATCATACTCGTACATACATGTATGTCATATAATATTTATATATATATATATATATGTATATATGTTACATAGAACATGTAATTACATGTATATTGTATAATATAAGTATATTCTATATTCTATAGTATATGTTAAGAAAATGTTAAGAATTAAGTATTATATCTTCGTATATGTTTCTTCTTCCGGGATCTTCACTGACGCACGTCTCTGCATCAGGACCAGGGAACTTTCCATCTCACTTGGCCTTCCGAACGCACATGGCCAGCACCGGCAGTGCCGGGAGCGGATCCAGTGAAGAATGGCAAGGCTGAGGGGAAGGCCTGGGGGTTGGGAACACCACAGGGTGGTGAAATGATGGGTTTATTTAGTTCAAACATGATAAGTGTTCAGCAAAAATGACTCGAAATCGACTGATTTAAAACAAACATCACTTGAGAGTTGACCAATCATGAAAATCGATGGCATACAGAAGCCCGCAACAGGGATGTGATGTCACAGCCACAAAATCAGCCATAGGTGGCATGTTTCAAGTGATTTTTTTGCACAGGAGTAAATCTCCAGTTGGGATGGTGTATACGATCCATGTCATCCAATTTATTGGAATTGGGTTTTGCAATTTTTTTGAAACCATGTTTTCCACTGTTTTGTTGTTTTACAATCTTTTACTATGTTTTACCACAGTAGTTGACATCCTGCTACATGTCCGAACCTGGAGGCAACTAGCTACATCAACGAAGATGGTGGCAAGTCCTATTATCCTCGCCCGGCACCATGGATTTGGGTAGGTCAGGTGGCAATCAAACGTGGCTAGCTGGAAAATCCCCTATGAATGGAGGTTTTGTCTATAAATCGGGGATTTTCCAGCAAGCCACGTTTGATTACCGGAGGGTAAGTACATGAGACAACAACCAGTTGTTTCTGAAACAGGCTCTTGAGCTACAATAGCTACAGAAGGGACTGCTGAATTTGTTTCGGAAGAACTACTGAAGGTGAATTCAAATGACATAAAAATGCCATAAAAATCCTGAGATTTGGGTTTCCTTGACAGTATAGATTCAATATGTATATCACCCCCGGTGAACTGTCTTGGATTGGTCCCGCAAGATGTGTGCTGCAGAAATCTCAAGTATCCATAGCTGGGGATGTCCCCTACCATACGCAGAAGTTAACTGAGATAAGTCACCGTGGTTGTTATGACTTCCTCATGAACCCCTTACCATTATTTCTTTGTGATAGTCCCAAGGGGCAATGTGGCTCTGTCGCAGAATGAGGTGCTAAGAAAGGCCAGACACAGCCGGACAGCGAAGGTCCACTTTTGGCCGCCGGCCCCCTGTGCATTGCTGCTGAGATGCACATACATGATGGAACACTTGGGGGTGCAGCTTGGGGTTAATGACCTTCAGAACATGGGATATAACCCCTACAGCTATGTTTGACTCACCTATTAGTGGAACTGCACGCCCAAGCAGAGACAAAAAACTGTTTTCGTTTGGGGAGCATCAGCATATAAATCTACAAGGTGGTGTGCCCAGTCGTAGATTGGTTACCTGATGTTACCTGGTTTATCAACCCACTGAACTAGTTCGATATATCTACCCACCTTGTAGGAGGTTTGCTCGTGGAAAATGGGGTCAACTGAGTCAACCCACCAGATCTTTGCGATCTGAAAGGAACGTAACATCGCCGGTGGCCACTTGTATTGGGCTTATGGTTTCAAAACGAATATAACATAACAATAAACCAATGGGTGGATTGCAATTTCATTTGTAGCCATAATTACATATAATTACCCGACCACCATGTCAGGCTCGCAATCTGTGGTCAGGTGACAATGACCCGGATGAAACTGATGGAATCGTTGAAACCTTAAAGAACCGCTTGCTTGATGGGTTTATCCGTTACCGGGTACGCAACTGTACCCCAAAATCTCATGGTTGAGAAAGTCATGTTCCCATTCAAATAACCAAAAGCTCCCATAAATGGAGAGCTTCGCCCTAAATTTGGGACAGAGCCATATGGAATTTTGCGTAAACACTGGAAGAATGGGTGGCTCATCCCAAAGCAGAGAACTTCAACAGGTTTTTCCCACTGCCCCTAAAATGTCTCAAAGTATGAAATTACTTTTATCAGACAATGTCATTATATGTAAAATATATATATATATGTTTAAATAGATGTATATATAATTATATATATGTATATGATGTATATATACAAGTTTGTATATATGTATATATACAGAATCAAATATAGATTTGCAAGTATATCTATATATTGTTTTACACATATACACATATGTTTATATATGTATATATATATATATGTACACATTATAATCTATTATGTGTGATATGTTGTTTTTTAAGTCATATTGTAGTTTTTTATTTATATACTATATTTGATTACATATTTTATAATGTTGTTGTTTATTATATTTTAGTATGTTGTTTATGTATTTTATTCTTTTCTATTTTTAATACTTTATATTTTGTTATTGTTATATTTTTATTGCATTAGTTTTTGTTTGTTTAGTTCTCCACCTGCCAGGTGAGGGTTGTTAGATTTTATGTCAGTTGCTTCCTCCTCGTCCTCCTCCTCATCCTCCTCGTCCTTCTCCTCCTCCTCTCCTCTCTTCTCCTCTCCTCTCCTCGTCTCCTCTCCTCGTCTCCTCTCCTCCTGCTCCCTGCCGGACCTCAACCACGACCATCCACGCCCAGTGTTCCCTGCCGGACCTCAACCACGACCATCCACGCCCAGTGTTCCCTGCCGGACCTCAACCACGACCATCCACGCCCAGTGTTCCCTGCCGGACCTCAACCGCGAGTATCCACGCCCAGTGTTCCCTGCCGGACCACCACGACCATCCCCGCCCAGTGTTCCCTGCTGGACCTCAACCACGACCATCCATGCCCAGTGTTCCCTGCCACACCTCAACCGCGAGTATCCACGCCAAGTGTTCCCTGCCGGACCTCATGTAGGAAGATAAAATGTCAGATAGAGTGCCAGAAGATTTGCCAGGTAGAATGCCAGAAAATATGCCAGAAGATATGCCAGATAGATATGCCAGAAGATATTCCAGAAGATATGCCAGATAGAATGCCAGATAGAATGCCAGAAGATATGTCAGAATATATGCCAGAAGATATGTCAGATAGAATGCCAGATAGAATGCCAGAAGATATGTCAGATAGAATGCCCGAAGATATGCCAGATAGAATGCCAGAAGATATGCCAGAAGATATGCCAGATAGAATGCCAAATAGAATGTCAGAAGATATGTCAGATAGAATGCCAGAAGATATGCCAGAAGATATGCCAGAAGATATGCCAGATAGAATGCCAAATAGAATGTCAGAAGATATGTCAGATAGAATGCCAGAAGATGTGCCAGTAAGAACATGTATAAATGTCATGGTGGGGATCACACGAAGTAAAGTGATTTTTATTATTGTATTTTTACAGTCAATTGTATTATATTTTTCATTACCATTATATTAGCTTATTTTCCCTATTATTTTTGTTATTATTATCATCATGTTGATTACTATTAGTAGCGTTTATATATATATATACTAACATCCTCTTGAACTCCTCTTAAAATGACCTCAAGACAGAATTTGATCGAATACTAAAGCAGGACTTCTCTATACTTCTCTGGTGGTGCTTCATTTCATTTGGAAGAAAGTATTTGACCAACCGACTTTCAGCCACTCTTCGATTTCTGGGAGGAATCCAGCTAACATAGATCTACCCTGACTTGGGGGTCCGGTTTTCAGGGTCCAGCCGTTGGGAATGCCTCCATCGCTATTTGCATGGCGAGGTCAACCTACCCACTGGCTGGTATTCGGATTCACAAGACCCGAACATGGTGCATCAGATGGCGGTGTTCCCACACAAGGTGCACGGCGGACTGCAACCAGTGACTTGACGGAGTGCGACTGTCCGGTTTCTTGCTTTACTTATGGGACCTGCTGTAACACTCTATCCCAGTCTATCTTTGTCTCTAATTGATTCCAATCGTATGTTATGTATATATATATATATATATTCTAGGTTGTTTTCCGTATACACACATATTATATCCATACAAAACTAATTATATGTATAACATATGTGTATAGATATAACAATCGTCCTGCCATGCATAGCTTATTTGTCACCAATTACCATTATCGTACATACTATGCGGAAAAATGGCGCTCAGAGTTCAAGGCTTGGGTATTTGCATGTCTTGCCTATGAATCCTCTCAAGATTGAGCGTTACTCACATTTTTCATGTTGTTGATTATGATGATGATGATGGTGGTGATGATGATGTTGTTGATGATGCTGGTGGTGCTGATGCTGGTGGTGCTGGTGCTGCTGATGGTGTTGGTGATGAAGATGGTGATGGTGGTGATGATGATGTTGGTGATGATGATGGTGGTGCTGGAGCTGGTGATGGTGACGATGATGGTGATAGTGATAGTATGATGATAATGTACAATGATTATCATATGCTGCATTTTGCTTTGGAAGTTGGAAGATGCTAGTGACAAGTGCTCCAATCATCTACCGTAAGTGGATTTTGGGGATGCCTCTTGTGGGTTCGTTTCTACAAGTTCCCAGGAACACATGGCAATTTCCCCAAGTCAGGGCTGGTGGACAAACCTGATTTCAATATCCTTTAGAAATGGAGGTTTGTCTGGGAAAATCATCCCAAAAAGGTGGATTTTCCTTTGCCATGTTTGATTGCTGGAGGGTATAGTGCCCATCAAACGGCCTTCAGAATCCTCAGAGCAAAACCTTGTCACTTTGTAGGAGGGTACCAAACTCAGGCCACTTTGCAAGGGAGTATGTTCTTTTTCTTGGTGTATAATAGCTGCGACGGCAAACAACTAGCCGAAAAAAATGTTGCCTTTGTTTCTTGAAAGGGTTGATTTCGGGAAACTTAATTACTATGATGAGCCAAACACATGTATTTGTGAAGCTGTGTGTGTGCCTTTAGTTTTGTAGATTCAACCATAGGCTTTTTGGTATATGATACGGTGTGGATGGGGCCATGATGCAGGCGATTTTCTGGCGCTGAGATGGTTTCGTCTGAATATGGGGTACCCCAAATTTGATGGTTCAGAATGGTTCAGATACACCTAAGTACATATTATGTTGCTTAGAGATATCGCATATATTTTAGTTATTCACACTACATTCCATTATCATTATATTCCATGTTACCCCTTTATATCCCGTTATATTTCATTATATCCCCGCAAATATAGCAGCATATATCGATGATGTATCTATATTTTATACAATTATATCTATCTATATCCCGGGAATTCCTGTTGTTCTTGGCCATGGCAATGGCGTGCTGCTGAAGGTCTTAGCGATCCTTTCGCATAGCGAGAAGGAGACGCTGCTTCAGTCGGCCGCTCTGATGTGCAGCTCTCTTGGCAATGGGACATTTCAGGCGACTCAAAAGCCGCGGGATAGGCGTGGAGTGAAAAGGGGCAATCTTTAGCCATGGTGAGACAGATTAGATCAGATTGGATTAGATTCTTAATTAGATTAGACAAGTGGACAAGATAGATAGATAGATGGATGGATGGATGGATGGATAGATAGATAGATAGAGAGAGATATAGATAGATAGAGATATAGATCGATAGATAGATCGATAGATCGATAGATCGATAGATCGATAGATCGATAGATCGATAGGTCGATAGATCGATAGATCGATAGGTGGATAGAAGGATAGATGGATAGATGGATAGATGGATAGATGGATAGATAGATAGACAGACAGACAAACAGATAGATAGATAAATAGATAGATAGACACATACCCGTCATAGTATAATGTGCACAATACGTTTAATACATTTTTTTTTTTTACATACATATTGTTCCTTTTTTCAACTACACTACGTATCTTGTATATATACATATACATATATACATACATTAAACAATGAATAGCCATGATACGATGTACAACACATCATATCCGTGGCTTAACGTGGTTTCAAAATGGAGATGGCGTAGGCAACTGGATGGTAGGGGCTGGAGTCTCCATCTGGCGCGAGGGTTGCCAGGGGGCAAAGAGCTAGCTCTTCGGTAATCAAATATGGCTGGCCGCTGAGAAATCTCAAAACTAAACACGGGTTGTAATTGTAAAGAAAAGAACATTGAACTATTTCTGCGGGATTTTTCAACCGAGCCATGTTTGATGACCCCATTAGATATTAGGTCATCATTGTCATCATCACCTATGGTGGCAAATGTAAGGATCCCATCAGTGAGGTACTGTCCAGGCACCTGAGCGGACCTCTGCAAGAAACACAAACATGGTATTTGACTTTAATATATCTCGGTAGTTTCACTCTGTGTTCCATTTTCCACTTTGTTTCCCTCTTCATTCTCAGTTCAGATACTACTCTAAATTCACTAGCCAATATAACCCATGTCTATTCCTGGTAATATTCACATACATACATACATACATACGCGTGTATATATATATATACAGATATTAATTCATGTATACTTGGGAATCTCACGATGTTTCGCGCACAGGAAGAGGAAGATTTACAGCAGTGGATGGAGGGAGTGCCCGGGCCATGGTCGGATCAAGGCTGGACGTCGCATGTTCTGATTGCCGTGGGTGGAGAACTTGAAGCTTGGACGCAGATCTTTGGTTGATACCCTCTGGAAAAAAAAGATGATTTCTTGGGAAAAAATGCTGATTTCATGGGATTTAACCACTATAAATGGTGATTTGATGGTGATTCACCCTCTGGTAAACTAACAGTTTGCTATTGAAAATGGCCATTTATAGTGGATTTCCCATGAAAAATTGTGATTTTCCATGGTTATGTTAGTTTACCACAGGGTAATGATGGTTAGTGATGGTCAATGGATACAGAATTGTTAATAGTGGTTAATAATGATGGTGAATGATGGTGATGGTTAATGATGGTTAACCACTAGTGAATAATGGTTAGTGATGGTCAATGGATAAAGAAGGGTTAATAGTCGTTAATAAATGTTAAGAATGATGGTTAATGATGGTTAATCATGATGGCTAACCCATTAGTGGAGAATGGTGGTTAATAGAGATAGATTGATTAATACTGGTTAATTATGGTTAATACTGTTAATAATGGTTAATAATGGGTATACAAGCAACAATAGTAGATGAAGAATGGAAAACTGGAGATATTGTTCTTGTGAATGTGGTAATCCCAATGTCATAAACCTACCATTTGGGGATGGTTTACGTTTGCTTTACTCACATTGTTGACAATTTCATCATTATTAGTACTGTAGTGCTTTATTGTACTATTTCTTAACCATATACTATTGCTATTATTGTTACAGCGGTTTTATTGTTAAATTGCTCACTATACTATAGTGTTTTATTATAATAGAACGACACGTTGTTGTAATTATAGCGTCTTAGTGATACTATTATTGTATAGCGTTATGTCATTAGAATACAATGATTATAATGTTTTGTTTTACTATTTGTATACGCTATTGCTACTACTATTTTTTCTTTAGTATCATATAACTTTACAATTATTAAACTGTTCTATGTATATACTCTCCAGTAAACATGGTATAGATGGCCAATGAAAATAGATGACTTACCTCTTAAAGATGCTGATTTCCATAGTTATGTTAGCTTACCAAAATATACCATCTACAGTATCCAGTGGCTAGCGGGGAGCGGTTCGGAGCTATGGCTATGTATAGTATATTCTCTATTAAATGGGGAGCCCTGCGGAGCTACGATTTGAGTTTCCCAACCACATGGAAGCTATTGCTGTTAGTACAAATATTGTTTTTATGGTTGTTATTATTGTTTTTGGTTTCTGTTTTTTTTGTTGCTAATATCATTGTTGTGGTTGATTCTTATCATTGCCATGTTTGATGTCTGGTGGAATCTGTGGAAACCTTGGATGGCTACGACTACAAAGTCACCAAGCATGATGTCTAATAAGGAGTGAATAATTCCCAATCATTGGCCTTTCTGTGGGAATCATAGACCATACTTGTAGCTGGAATATGTTGGATGTATTTTTTTTCTGGATGCTGTCCGTGTTTGTTTCTTGTTGTTCCTGTTATTTTTTTTCCATTGGTGTTTTGTCAGTTGACTCGAATTTCCCATCCAAACCGATTAGCCCCAGCAGGATCCAAGGTGACACTAGACCCGAAAGATGGCACCCAAGATTTCTTGGAGTACAATATTCATTTTAAATACATGTATCATTATGCACTATAATGTTAATATATATATATATATGTATATATATGTATATATGTATATATATATGTATTTATATGTATATATATACGTATGTATATATATATGCATATATATATACATATATATATATGTAAATATATATATATGCATATATATATACGTAAATATATATATATATATATGTATTTATATGCATATATATATATATGTATATATATATATATGCATATATATATGTATATATATATATATTTATACGTATATATAAATATATATATATATTTATATATATAGCCTCACGACTTATTAAGATTTAGTATGCGCATTGAGATATACAGATGTACTAATTCTGATGGTATACCCCCAAACAATGACAGACAGGTTTCAACGACATATTGCCGAGGACGGTCTCTGGGTGGTGGGTGCTGGAGCGCGAAAACAGGCACGTCGCCGCGCGGCCAAATTGGCCATGGTGGTGGCTGAGAGCCTTGGAACCACTGGTGCAGTAAATCTGAGAAATTGCAACATATAGCAACGACAAATGGGTTCTGAAAATAGGGCACCCCTGTGAAGATGGGGATCCAATCATCTGGAATTGGATGGACCCCCAAAAAGATGCAGAAGTTGGCAAACACCTACGACAAAAAAGTTGTCATTTGCTTTTCTCAATGTTTGCAAATTACTATATATGATTCATTACACAATCCCAGTGCTATACGATATCAGTATACCGCATATCCCTGGTACTATATTATGTTTATTGAGTCTCCCCATGTCATAAGGTATACATGGAATATCTCTAAGGCTCTATATAAGGTGTTTGTGGAATCAACAAATTACACAGGGTAAACGTGGTCTTCATACCCCGTCTGTGTATGTACATAACCCATCATAACCCATATATTTTTGTGGTATTATCTAATATACATGTATATATATATACATACATATATTCATAGGCATATAATGGCATATATATCTATATACGCGTATAATATATATATATATATTATTATTATTATTATTATAAATGTATACATGCATGCAGGCATTCATTCATACATGCATCCATGCATCCATCCATCCATCCCTCCCTCCGTCCGTCCGTCCATCCATCCATCCATACATACTATATGAATACATATATATATATATAGATATACACATAATACATATGTATGCGAGAGGGACCTTCAGGGAGAAAACACGCGCAGAGTATGACCTGAAAGTCACTCATACATATATTTGAATACATCTATGGCCATTTATATGTTTATATACATACATGTTTGTACATATTTATGTGTTTTTTTATTTGTATGTCTTATTTCATACATTTTTTAATGTTCATATATGTGTATATCTATTTACTGTTTTTGAATGTATGATATATATACTGTATATATATATGTATATATATATATGTATATATATGTATATATATATATATATGTATTTATTTATTTATATGATTATATACATGTCTGAGTTGTTTCATAGTGTTTCAATGGTTATTACCTACTCAGGATGTCTGGGATATTCTGTGATGTGCCGTCGATCCTCCCATATAGTTGTCTTTGGTTTCTGTTTTCGACGTTTCGATGTTTTTCTAAATTGTTTATCAATTTTCGATGTTTCTATGTTTTCTGGTTTCTATGTTTCGATGTTTCTATGTGAATTTTTGAGTGGTTCTCAATTGTTTATCCCTGCCAAGGGACACTGGGTTCGTGACAGAAGAACGATGGGATATCAATCATGCAAGATGATGGGACCCCAAAATCACCATGTGATGTGGTTTCCGTGCATTTCGAATGACCCAAGAGTAGTCTAAGAGTAGTAGTGGTTGTAGATACTAACAAAGACAGTGGAAGCAGCGTTGGAAGATTTTCCGGAATCCTCTTGGGATTGGTGAGACGATTTTTTGGAAATTGCACCTCTGGGAACTGCTACTGTTACAACTACTATGCCTTATTTATGAATATAGATAATTAGTTGTAATGCAAATGCATAATTATGATATTATTACTGTACTGTGTTACTATGTTTATTATTTGTAATGTAAATTAGCACATCATTCCTTCAATTCACATCCTTTCTCTTCATTGGAATCTGCCGAGGAAAGCGAGTCGAAACTCCACGGACCTTGACTGGCCTGAGCTCCAGCGGCTGGTTGAGCGGGCGATAGATCTGATGGAACATGCAAGGGCAAAACATGCCCGAGAGGTTGCCTGGCAATGGTCATCTGGGAATTCCAAGAAAGCCACTTGGGGGGCCGAAAAGCTAAGAGTTTCCCAACCACATGAAGGACATGATAGCTGGGATGTATTGATTTGGTTGGCTTGGAAGTCCGGACCTCGGAAGATTGAGAAAGCCCTAAGTCTGAAATGTTTGTTTCAGCCACTGTAATGAACATTTTCAGCCATTGCTCAAATTCATGTTTTCCACCGATTTATTTCGGGGTCCAAGTTCTTGGACTTTTTCGCTACTTCACCAGGATGGTGGAGTGGGGAGCAAACCAGCCAACATTCCCCATTGCAATCTCTGTATACTATACTGTATGTATCTGTATGTATCCCCATAGATTAAAAAAGTTGGCAACCTGGAAATCATAGTAGAAGCAACAATAAAAAACTTGGAAACACTGTTCTATCATTCTGGGGGTTGCTAGACTTGAGTCTTGCGATATAGAAATTTAGTTCCATCCTGCCAAGGTTGAATTTCCCACGCCCTTGACCTGGCTGATGAAGGAAGCTGAGCCAATTCCTAGCATTGAGGCTCGGGCTTAGTGTCGCTTACGGGGGTGCAACGGCAATATCCTAGCTGTGCTTGATATCCATAAGTCCATAAGTCTACAATGGGTATCACAGGCTCAATCATTTCAAATGTTCATTTTAACCTTTTGACTCTGGCGTAAGCAGGTAGCTACTAGGAGGTACTAGCACCTGACCCAATCCGAGATTCCCCAGAGCTCTTCGAGAGAATCTTGGAGTTTGGATTGGGTCAGGTACATCTCACCTCCACCTCTCTGCAACATTGCTCGAATTCCAAGACTCTGACGGAACAACACATGTTTCCCACAAATGCTTCCTCTTCGAGATGCCACATGAAAGAACAACTCAATTTTGGGTCTTTTCCCCAAATCTGAAAAAGGCAGTGAAAGAGTGTAAATTACATTAAATATCATTAAATTACTACAACGGGTCATCAACCATACATCTCTTTCTTGTAGAAGTAATTCTCATTCTATATAATTGACAAGACACGTCAAATGCTGCAGCATTCCTGCACCAAACAGTCCATTCCTTTTCAAGAGGTATCATTTCTGACAAAAAAAATGTTTTCCTTCAAAACATATCGCTAGCCATCTCGATTAGGTCGTGTTTTACATGGAATTAAATATGCACGGGGGTACATGCTTCTGAAGGAAGCAGCACGGGCAAGAAAAGCCTCTTGAACATACAGGTCATTTCCAACACACATGCAGTATCACTTGAAGGAACATAACAGTCCTTTCAATTATGTAGCATTACGTTGAACAACATGTGTTTTTCTCTTGAAGAAGTAAATCTAACTAATATAGGCAGTCATGTTAAACAAAGATGTTCTTGTAAAACTCATAAGAACATGTGTGCATGAATTGTTATTTGAAGCATGCAATGTGTGCAATATTGCTTTCCAAAAATACAGTGCATGTTCACTTTAGAACGCACAATAATCCTCGCAGGAATCAATATCGCCCATTGTGGCCCGTTGTTCAAACAGATGCAATGTTGTTTTAAATGAAATATTACAAATTATTAAGACACAATAAGAAACCCTTGAAAGTAGCATCGTTCTGATAACTTAAATCTGATTGACAAGAGCAGTCTCTTTCAACAAATATACATTTATTTAAGTTTATTCACAGGATACAGTGTCCTTTGGGGACATGCATTCCTTTTCAATAGGTACAGTAGCATTCCTTTGGAGAAAGTATGAGAAAGTAACCTTTTTTCAAGAGGCACTGTTCACCTCAAAAAGGTATATAGCATTTGCGGGAAAGATTTGGTGTTCAAACAAGCACTGTTCATTGTAAGTACGCACCAATGCTTGCAAAAAATATATAAGTGCACAGAAGACACGGTGTAGCAGTACTTGCTTTGTTCAGGAAAAGAACTGCCAAGAGCATTTCTGCCATACAAAAAAAGGTAGGTCTTGTCGGTCTTGTAGGGGGCTAGCATGTGTATATATATATATAGATATATTATTATATATTACTGTATGTTTGCCAGCATGTGGCAGTCTCCATTGTGGCCTTCCAACCTCAGCAGGTGCCAGAGCCGCCCATGCCACCCGCGGCCATGGAGGCTTCCTTCTTGCCGGTTGACGTATGAGCTGTGGCTGGAAACACCCCATGGCATCAATGGATGGTGCCAGATGCATAGTTTGCCTGTTGTGTTGGTGATGAGTGTTTGACATTTTTTACTACAAAACGGCACTACTTACTTGTTTGGCTAAAGTTGTTTCAGATGCTTGTATCGGGACGACATTTTGACAGACAAACCTGGTTCCTGTTTTTGGTGGCTTTGGTGCTTGATCCAGATTCAACTGGATTTGCAGTGGTTGAATGCAGTGGGCAGTGATACATCTTGGACGCGTTCCGAACCGGCTGCTAGCATTGCCAAAAGAGAAGCTAGCTGCGCCTCTGGAATTTTGGGTGAATCGGAAGTCCCCCACCGTGGGATCCCTCACCAAGAATTGGTGCTTTCTTTCGGCGGGGAGGTGCCCCAATTTGGTAAACCTACAGTCAGCTTGTTTTACTTCATATCAGCCAAGGAAATGACATCCCGTTGCATCTATATATATATATATTGTTCTACGCAGAGGTGTCCATTCTGTGCGGCGACTGAGCATTGAAAAGAACAAACACCTTGCACTAGAATCCAGCTGAATGACTCGCGAGTTAAGGCCAGGGGTGTGATTTCTCACCAGCGCAAAATGTTGCTTTTGTTTTGAGCTTGAGTCAATATTTGTTTATGGAAAAACATAAAGGTTGTGAACCTGAGACCAGCATGAGAACCGCAACGGCAAAGACATGGGTTTGTCTCAAAATGGAGTATGGAAGACGATAAATGATGATAATTAATCTGGTTGGTGGTTCGGAACATGTTTTATTTTTCCATATATTGGGAATAATGATCCCAACTGACTTTCATCTTTTTCAGAGGGGCTGAAACCACCAACCAGCAATCCATTTTAAATAGGACTAATCCATTCCGGAACCCACATGTGTAGCAGATGCACCCTGCGACTGCAGGCCTACTGCCTCCAGCTGTTCCAAGACGAGGCACTCGGTGAGCTGGTGACGTTGTACCCCCAACTTCAACAGGTGCCGAGACAAATTATGGATTTATAACATGTTTCAAAAATGTTTACACACTTTTGAGTTATAAGATGTTGTAAGATGTTTTCATATGGATGATCCCGAATGACAGATGTGCCAAACCCTAATTAATATCATTTCATGGCATGCGTTTGTCCTGCAACATGAAGACGGGTTCACCGTAATTTTCTTACTAAGATTGCCGTGAACACTCGGGGTATGTACAAAGTCCCCATTTTCACACATACCATGACATACCCAAATAATCTCAAATACATTCATGTGTTACGTAATGTTATATAATATAGGTATACATTTGTATACACATATTTGCTGTTGCTTGCTTTTGCCCACCCATATTAGTCGCTTGGAGACTACCTCTGGTAGCATGACACGTGCAGCCTCAGGGCTGTGCACTCTTACGCAGCCATACATTTAAACAGAACAATGATCATGTTTAAATACTGGTTATTACTATTGTTATTATTATATTATTATTATGTTATAATTATTGTTATGTATGATTATATATATATTATTATTTATTATTATATATTGTATATATCATTACATATTGTTATACATTTTCATTTATTGTTATATATTATTTTATATTGTTACATATTATTAGATTTTGTTATATGTTATTATATATTATTACATATTATTATATATTATTTTATGTTATTATATATTGTTTATTATTATTATTATTATTACTACTATATTATGTGTATTTTTATATATTACAGTATATTATTGCAAGTAATATATGTATATATATATATATAATTACATAATTATAATAATAACAATAACAATAAACTAGTAATAACAACATAAATATGATTTAAATCATTCAATCTATAACACATCCTATTTTAGCTGGGTACGATTGTGCCAGGTGCGGCGCTTGGCTCAGCGGACCAGGCGGGACATACCCAGTCTGCATTGAGTCATGGGGCATAGGTCAAAAACCCATCAAAAACCTATGAAATGATATGACATGATATTTTGGGAAACAAACAGAAATGAACATCCAGCTATACCAGCAGTTTTGGGATAGGGTATCCCAGCGTTTTGACTCACAACCATATTAGCGTTGATGATACAGTTAATTACTACCCTCCGGTATAAAATCAATCAATATCAAACATTACTTGCAGGAACTTTTTAAACATCTCTATTCAGCTCGGGGATTTTCATTGCCATCTTTGATGACCTGAGGGTGACTGGTCAATGATGGTAGTCACGTCCCCCACTCTCGGGGTTATCCCATATGTAGCAGATATTAACCAGTTACTAAGTGAGATGATCCTGCTGAAATGGTTTTTGGAGCAGACCAATCAGAGTTTCCCAAGCTGAAATTCCCAAATGGCAAAAGTCGGGGTTAAACATCAAAACGTGGCATTCGAACAGTTCTATATAACTACCCCCGTCCGGGGTACCTAAATAGAATGAGGGGGGGCTGGAGCCCCTTTTAAAATAAAAAAATAAAATGAAAATTACTTTACTTCGTGTGATCCCCACCATGACATTTATACATGTTCTTACTGGCACATCTTCTGGCATTCTATCTGACATATCTTCTGACATATCTTCTGACATTCTATCTGGCATATCTTCTGGCATATCTTTTGGCATTCTATCTGACATATCTTCTGACATTCTATTTGGCATTCTATCTGGCATATCTTCTGGCATATCTTCTGGCATTCTATCTGGCAAATCTTCTGGCATTCTATCTGGCATATCTTCTGGCATTCTATCTGACATATCTTCTGGCATTCTATCTGGCATTCTATCTGGCATATCTTCTGGCATATATTCTGACATATCTTCTGGCATTCTATCTGGCATTCTCTCTGGCATTCTATCTGGCATATCTTCTGGAATATCTTCTGGCATATCTATCTGGCATATCTTCTGGTATATTTTCTGGCATTCTACCTGGCAAATCTTCTGGCACTCTATCTGACATTTTATCTTCCTACATGAGGTCCGGCAGGGAACACTTGGCGTGGATACTCGCGGTTGAGGTCCGGCAGGGAACACTGGGCGTGGATGGTCGTGGTTGAGGTCCGGCAGGGAACACTGGGCGTGGATGGTCGTGGTTGAGGTCCGGCAGGGAACACTGGGCGGGGATACTCGCGGTTGAGGTCCGGCAGGGAACACTGGGCGGTGATGGTCGTGGTTGAGGTCCGGCAGGGCACACTGAACGTGGATGGTCGTGGTTGAGGTCCGGCAGGACACACTGACATGGATCGCAGTGGAGCAGGAGGAGGAGGAGAAGGAGGACGAGAAGGAGGAGGACGAGGAGGAGGAGGACGAGGAGGAGGAGGACGAGGAGGAAGCAACTGACATAAAATCTAACAACCCTCACCTGGCAGGTGGGGAATAAAATGGGTCAGACCCCAGCATTTTATTTTGTGGGTGCATTTTATTTTTTGAGGTGCCTAACCCATCAAGTTAATTGACAGAGATAGCATGATAGCAAAGATGCACAGCTGTGAACGGCCTGATCATTTTGTGATTGCATTGACTTGGTGGATGTTGGGATACGTTGGAGGTTGGGTCTTGCAATTTTGGGGGTTTTCGAGTTTTCCTTCAAAGATGGTTAAAACCAATCAAAGAAGGAAACAAGACAAAACAAGATCAACCCAAAAGAAAATGCCGCAGCCTGAGGTCCAACAGTTGCATAACGTAGGTCCAACAGTGGCCAGGTGGAGGGTGCCTGACGTCATTTTTTTTTGGTACCTGTCCATTGTATTTTGCTTGGGTTTTCCTATCTTACCTTATGCCCTCTCATTTTATTGGCATTTTGTCCTTAGGCCCCTGCATTTTATTTTATTTTTTTAGGGGTTCCTCCCCCCCCCTGGCAACAGACGAGGGTTATAACTGGGATACGATCTCAAAATGTTCGTACAGGAAAAGTCTCTAAAGGCTCCTGGAGGAGCCAACAAATCAAAATCTCTGTTTTTGCAAGAAAATAAGAATCCAGAACTACATTTCTAAGGCTAGTTGAGGTTGCTTCGCACAGGGGTTTGAATGAACCTGAATCTTGACCTTTTTGGGGACCACGACGGCTAGGCGTTTGCGCCTAGTGGAGGTGGGCTGGGTGACGGTGTGAGACGGTCGTTGACCTCACCTTAAGCCCGTGATCCCTGCGATTTCCAATCTCCCCAATGTGTGAGTCAGGCCGGTCCGCACATTGGCACGGGAGCCTGGCTCATGACTGTCACGACTGCAGATAGTTTCTGGTTCCTCAGTGTGTCAAGCGTCCGTGCTGACAGCAATATTGATGATCATCTTTCAGATACATATGTATGGGATTGTATGTGATTGTATGGGATGGTATGTGGTGGTATGGGATGGTATGAGTCAAAAATTGCAACGAAGGTGGGTCATCAACTTGGGTCGTGTTTTGCATTCAATCATTCAACAGTTTTTGGCGTATACCGTATACTGTATTCAATACCAGCTAGTTCAATCTTTTCAGACAAACCCAAGCTTAAAACACACTCCGAAATCTTTGTCTCCACCAAAACGATCTGTATGTTTTTCTTTCCATATAATTAGTGTATTGGACACATATCCCGGACATTTATGAACATTAATCATTAATCGCTAATTTATAGTGGTTGATTTACCAGAGGGTGAATCACCATCAAATCACCATTTATAGTGGTTAAATCCCATGAAATCACCATTTTATAGTGGTTATGAACATTAATCGCTAATTTGTATGAAAATTGTGATATCCCCAGCGGTGAGGCGATTGCATGCTCTGGGCTGCCGCGGAATTTGGTTCCCGCCTCTCTGCCAGTTGTGTTGAGCCGGTGGCGCAGGCGCAGCACAGCGGGGTGTGAGTTTTTTTTTTGGGGGACAACGGCGACATCATCATTATTATCATCATCATCATCAACAACATCATCATCATCAACATCATCATCAACATCATCAACATCATCATCATCATCACCATCATCATCATCAACATCAGCATCATCATCATCAGCATCATCAACATTATCATCATCATCATCATCATCATCAACATCAGCATCATCATCATCATCATCATCATCATCATC